CCTTAGCTCCAAGATAATATCAGCAGGATCCAGAGGTTCCTGGGGTAGAAATGAATAAACTCTGGGTCCCCAGTCTCTCTCTGCCTCTCAGTCACTTCAGCAAGAAGGTTTTTCTGATTTGTAACATAAATCCCTCTTCCTCTGTCCTTGGGGCCATAGAGAACAGCTGGGCAGGATGTTTCTAAGGTCTGAATCTAGTTTCGTCTCCCTCCCACCCATCCACAGCCTGATTTAGGGGCCTGGCCTTGGCTGCAAGGGACTCACCCAAGTCTCGTACATACTTTCAGGTTTCAGCTTCCTTAGGGTTGACCTGGGAACAACGTAGGAAGATTCAGTGAGAAGAGCTGTCCCTGTCTCAGGGGCCACTCTCCAGTGTCTGGGGTCGGCCCCAGGGCACAGACAGTTCATGGCTTAGATCAAGCTCCATCCATCTCGGTAGGAGGCCCAGAACACTGTACAGCCGTGGGGGAGGGAAGCTGGCAGGTTACAGGCAGCTTTACAGGCAAAAGGCCTGAGTTTAAGTACTGGTCCTGCAACTTTGTTCAAGGTCACAGATAGCTCTGAGACTTTGGAACATCCAATCAAACTTTTATTAAGCTCTGACTCTATGCAATCAGTCAGTCAATAAGCACTGATTAAATACCTATTATGTGCCAGGCACTGTGCTAAGCACTGAGGCTATGAAGAAAGGCAAAAGACAATCCCTGATCTCAAGTAGCTCAGTCTAGGTATGTTGTCTTTACAAAGGCAAGCCAAGACAAAAGAAAAACCCCAGCTCCTGGTCTCAGGGTGCTCCAATTCTACTGGTGGCATATAATATGTAAATAGGTAAGTATATATGTATTCATATACATGACAGCTTGAGAATACTAAAAAATATAGGGCTCTGGAAAGACTGTTCCTTGGTAGTAGCAGGTAAGGTCAGCCTTGTAGGAATTGGGAGTTTTTAAGAGGTGAAGGTGAAGGTGAAGATAAAGGGAGAACACGTTCAAACCATGGGGGGAGGGGACACGGAATAGGAGCAATGGGAGATGGAATGTCCCGTGAAGAACAGAACAGTGTGACTGGACTGAAGAGTGTGGGAGAATGACAGGATTGATGATCTCTGAATTCCTTTCCAAGCCCCAACAACTTGGGGTGGGAGGCAAGAGTGAAGTTTGGGAATCTAGACATTATGTGACCAGCATGAAAATCCTCACCATCCTTGTCAACAAGCATTTACTGAATGTCCACTCTGTGTGGAACCCCATGGCCAGTGTTGAAATGCAGGACCTTATGCGAACTGAGTCAATGGCTTAGAAGACAATGGCCGTGGGGAACTAGAGGGCTGTCTTTATGTTTGTCTCCATCCCTGGGTCACCCTGCAGCATTGAGATGAGGGTATGAGGGGCAGTGACCCTCCCCCTCCTCCCCTTCCTCTCTCCCCCCTCCTCCTCCTCCTCTTCTTCCCCTCTCTTCTCTTTCCTCCCCCTTCCCCTCCTCTTTACCCCTCTTCTTCTCCCCTTTCCTTCCCCCCTTTCCTCCCCTTCTCTTTGTCCTTCACCAGCTAGAGACTCCACAAGTCACCTCTCAGGTGAGGACAAGAGCAGCCCCCATAGCAGTCCCACCTCTTGTGCTCTTCTACAAAGCTGACAATCTCCTCCTCGCTGTTAGGCTTGTCTGGGATGGTCACTGGCTCATCCGTGAAGGCCTCATAGAAATCAATCTCATTCAGCTTCAGGGTCAGCTTCTTAGCCACCTTTGGGGAAGGAGGAGGATGAGGGTGGGGACACAGAACAGTGAGGCTCTGAGGAGCCATGAGAACCTCAGCAGATCTGAGGGGAGTGGTTTATTTGGGAAGGTTTCAGTGTGTGACACTGGGGGGAAGATCAGGCTCTAAGAGCAGCAAAGGGCTTAATGAAGGTCAGAGAGAGGTTTGGAGGAAGAAGAAAAGCATACCTTGCTGTCAAAGGTGGCAAAGAAGGGGATGTAGGGATGAAACTCTTCAGCTGCATCCTCATAGGCCTTGTAATCTGGGGTAGGGGAGGCACAGTCAGTTCTATATCTTCATAGAAGGCTGAGTGCCACTCTTCTCCACATCTCACCCCCCCACATCCCCAAATCTTTCTTAACTAAGACAAACTTGGGGAGGTGAAAAATCCAGAGAGATTTATCCTTAGCCTCCCCCCCCCCACTGTGTTCCCCCAACCATTTTATCCTTTAGAGTAAACCTGTCACAGGCTTTTATTTTTTGGGGGGGGGTGGTTAGAGAACTTTGAGGAGCCTTAGTAGAGGGGGAAGGGAGCCCGAGACTTAAAAGAGGGACACTCCTGAACAAACGGATGGATGGCCTGGATAAAACCTCAGACTGAGAAGCAGTCAGAGTAACAACTAGAGAGCTTTCTGTGGTGATAGTTGAAGAATAAAGTGGGTAGGGGGGAGAGGAAGACTCAGGGAACTGGGGCGCATTAAGAAGGGTTGGGAACAGTGAATTTAACTGGAGAGACTATAAGTGATGAGAGAGAGGGATGGGAGCTCTAGGAACAGTAGGGGACTGGGGGGAAGTGGAGGCTACCCACGTTCTGAGTCCTCATTCTTGAAGTAGCCGATAAGTTTGATCTCATCCTCAATGTTCTCAAATGCCTGCAGCTCCCGCTCACCCTCGATTAGCTCTACAGGGTCCTCCAAGACCTGGTGGAGGAGAGGAGAGCTATGTCTGGGGCCAGAAGGGATGGAGAAAGGCAGGGGAAAGGGTGGAGACAAACGTATACTAAGGGTAGTGAGTGGCAGTGGGAGGGTTTGGGGGGAAGGGGGTGACTGAGGAAAGTAAAGAGTGAGACTAGGAGGGGACCGGGGTCTTTCTCACATCAAGCAGAAACTCGACCAGGGTGTCTGCAGATAATTCACCATCGTATTCGATGACCTCGTCCCCCTTAAAGATGTATATACTGTCCTCCTCGGTCAGGCCTGGGAAATAAGGTAGAAGTGAGTGTTGACCTTGAGACCCTCTATCTCAGGTCCTGCCTTCCCACCCCTTAGCTACAACCCCCACCCCACCCCATCATCACAAACATGGCACACCACTCTCCTAACCCAAATCCCAGTTTTGTGGGGTAGGGGCTTGTTAGGACAGAGAATGGTTTCATGGGAAGGTGCAATATCTCTCCTTTCCCCCTCTTCCAGAACAAGAGGCACCTCCCACTCCAACCCTTCTTCTCTTTATCCCTACCTTCCCTACTCCAGACTCAGGTGCCTGGCTCCCAAATGCAGCCACTTCCACTCCGCCCAGTCAGGCCACTATTACAGCTGTCCTGCCACACCTCCCACTGTGTGGCCTAGAGTTTAAAGCTTGCAATGCCCCCTGGTGGCCAAGGCCTAGAAGGTCTTCTGGCTGCATGTCTCCACTAGGAGGTTGGGGCAGGGTGGGGGAGGAGCTGGGACTCTCTTGCTTCCCTTCCCTTTCTCTCATTTTCCACTCCTCTAAGTTCCAGGGACCCTGGACTCAGATCGCTGCTACATAATAACAACCTCAATGGCAACTGATACTGCTGTGGTATGTTACCATTTATAAAAGCAGAAGGAATGCTGCTGCATCCCCCACCCCCATCCCTACACATTTGGGGGTCTGGGCTGAAGGTTACAACTAGGATCTTCAGGCCTTGTAAGACACTGTCCTTGATCACTGCTAATGATCAGAGCCACCGCCTCCACCACCACCTTCAGACCCTTCCAGGAGAACATTTGATGATCTCACTTGTCTCTGACCCCTTAACAATTCCCACCTCCACCAAGAAGCAATTAATTACTTTATAGCCCCACTCCAAACCTTTATGCCACTACCCCCCATTCCTCCCCTACACACACAGTGATTCATCTTTTTTCTCTCCATGGCCCTTACCTCTCCCCCTCTCCATAGGTCTCTCATTTCCCCCTTACCACCTTGCCCCCAGGTCTCTCTTTCCCCCTTACCCAGTTTCTTGGCCACAGCCGCATCTTTCTCTGAGTCCACGAGCCCGAAGCCAACTCCCTTATCTTCCAGGACTTGGGCTGCTAACTGGGGAAGGTATTTGAGTTACAGCCCAGGGTCTCTAGGCTGTGTCCCCCAACCCCCAAGTTTCAAGGAACACTTGGGCTTAGAAATCCAAATGGTGGAAATGGTTCTTAAAATCCACTTTGTAATAGGATCATAGCCCTACAATAGCAAAGGACCTCAGAGGACATTTAGTTCAGTCTCCTTATTTTATAGATGAGGAAGCTGAAGCCCTGGAGTTTAAGTGATTTGCCCAAGGGCACAAAGGTAATAATGGCTGGAGGTGGGATATGAACCCTGGTCCTCTGACTGGAGAGTGCCATTGATGCTTTCTAATGCTTCCTTTTTATAAAGAAGAGCTCTGAGGTCCATAGAGGTGAGGCATTCAGAATGATAGAATTTCAAAGTTGAAAGGGACCTCAGAGAATATCTATTCTGTTTCAAACCTGAACAAAAATCTAATCTACAGATTCCCAACAGATTATCTAGTCTTCTTTTAGGGACTTTTAGTGTAAGTGGTGCAGTGAGGGTAAAGTGCTAGATAGACCTGGAGTCAGGAAGACCTGAGTTCAAGTGTGGCCTTAGATATTTCCATGACTGTGGGCAAGTCACTTAACCTCTGTTTGCTTCAATTTCCTCAATTGTAAAATGAGGATAAGCATAGCACACACCTCGATGGGTTGCAGGGAGGATCAAGTGAGATATTTGTGAAACCCTTTGCAAATCTTAAAGTACCATGTAAATAATAGCTTCTTGTTCTTCTTTACCTCCTAAGTCATCCCATTTCACTCTTTGGACAGTGCTAATAGTTAGCTTCTACTCATTTGTAGCTAAGTAGCACAAGCCTACCCCTCTTCCCCCACCAAAGCCTTTCAAATAACTTCAAAAACTGGCATTAATGTAAAGCTTTCCAAGTATTCTCCTTTGTTGGTTGTGAACAAACCATTCAGGTAAATGCTATTATCCCCCCTTTTGCAGGTTGGAAAACTAAGGCTCAGAGAGGTGGAGACGTGTCCATGGTCCTAATCCATAAACGTAGGAAGGGAGAGTTGAACCCGGGCATGCTCTGATGGTGGCACCCTTTCAGTTATTCCTCATTGTCTCACAACAGCCCTGAGAGGTAAGCACTAGAGGTATTATTATTCCTATTTTACAGATTAGGCTCAGAAAGGTTAAATGATTGCCCAAAGGCACATGGCTAGCAGATGTCAGAGGAGGGATTCAAAGCCAGATCTTCATGTCTAACACTTAGGAAACTTCTCTGAAGACAGCTATTATGTCAACCTTAAGTTAGGGATTTTCCGTGCTAAAACCTCTTCAGTCTCTTCACCATCATGGTTGCCTCCGTCTGGATTGTACTTTAGTTCAAAATGTCCTTTCTAAAACTTGCTTCTCTAGATAGAGCACAATTCTCAAAGACTGCAGGGCTAGTTAATTGGTGGAGAAGCCAGGATCCATAGATTCTTCGAGTAGAAAGAACCTGAGAGGTTACCTAGTCCAACCATTACCCAGGTGTGAACTCCCAGGTCTTAAGTCTCCTGAGGTTCCGGCCGCCCCCACCCCAGTCAGGGATGGGAGACCTTTGCTTTCTCTGCTTCTCTGTTAAATAGGGGTATCACATCCCACAGTTAACTTCTTGGCCTCCTTCCATTGAGCAGTAGTAGTCTGAGGGGTCTGAGAGCAGGGCAGTGAGGGGCTGCCCTCCTTCCTGTAGGGGCTTAACTGTGTCCTTAGGCTGTCAGAAAAGGAGGCTCTCAAGAAAGTCCCCTCCTTCCACCCCGGGGGATTCATCACTGTGAGCTTAGCCTGCTGGAGTGCTACTTTCCTATTGGCTGTTGGGAGGTGGGGATGAGGATAGCGAGGTGGAGCAATGGAATCTTGCAGAATTAGGACAGAGAGAGAGACACCCCCACCAAGGGCTTCTTCACCCCCAGGAGTGAGGGAATAATGTGTCTCCTGACAGCTTCACAGAGTCTCTTTCTGTTTCCTTACATGCTAGAGGCCCTCCCTCCACCCCCACTCCCACCCCCTACATCTGCCATGGCCAAGAATGTTAAATGCTTAGGGCCTGAAAGATTTGAAACTGTGGACTAAGGAGAAATCAGGTTTCAGGGCCAGGCAGAATAGGACTAATGGATTAAATTGCATTTCTAACCCTGGCCCTATCCATTTTACAACCCTGTGAGAGGTAGGGTATCACCCTCGTTTTGCAGTTGATGTCACTGAGGCAGAGAAGTAAGTGATTTGACTATAGTCACAGTAAATGGAGCAGCCATAGCCTAAACTTAGATCTTTTCACTTTAAATCCAGGGATCTCTCCCCTATGCCACATTGTCTCTGGGGAATACAGGGGATTTCAAGAATGCTGAGCCTCTCGGCGCCAGGGACAGCCTTGGCTGTATAACCCAGTGGCTTTCCTTTTCTGGGATTCCTCCTTTCTCTTATTCCCAGCCTCTCCTCACACCCCATGGGTGGGTGAGGGCTAGACAGGAATGAACAGAGATGGAGAAGACAGGGCCTGCAACAGGGAAGGGGGAAGAGAGGGGAGGAGGAGGGTGTTCTGGACTAGGCAGCTCTGGATAAGAGTATTGACTAAGGCTCTCTCAACCCATGTCTTCTTTTCCTCCAACCCAGAGAGAGATACAGTGCCAGAGCCAGGGGCCACCCCTCATGGCCATGGGCTTCCTCCTCTTTACTCTCAACCTCAACTCTCTCACTGAACAAGTGAATACCCTCTCCTCTCAATCTAAACACCAGGATAAGCTTCCCAGTCTGTGAGAGCAGCTACCAACTCCCCTAGCCCTAAATCAGATCGTTCCTAGCCCGATTTCCTTTGCCCTGCTCAGACAGTTCTCCCTGCCCCTCCTCCCCTCCTCAACTCTCTCCTCCAGGCTTACTACCAGACTCATAAGGGACAGGGGATGAGGGACTTGGCAGGTGGGTGGCCCTGGTATTCCGGGCACTTGGGATAAAAATACCAGCCTGTTAATCAGGCAGCAGAGCCCAACCCCTTGCTGGGGAGGAGGGGAGGCAAGAAGAAACTGTGGGGAAGGAAAAGGGGGTCCCTGTTCTTTCTGTCCCTTCCCTTGACTCCCGTTGGGGAGTTTGAAGTGTTAAAGAACTAGGGAGAAGAAATACAATTATCCCGGCTCCCAAGCAAATCATTGACCCTTACAATTCTACCTGACCGTACCTTACCCTTTCCCAATATGGGCTCTTTCTCTTCCTTTTAGAGATTTTCCCCTCAACCTCAGAAGTTTCCCTTCTGACTCCACCCCACTCCCACCACCTCTGTCAGTTTCATCAGGTGTGACCTAAGTCTGAGACACTAATAGGTTGATGAGAAGTGTGTAACCCACTAGGAAGAATGTGAAAATCTAGGCAAAAATCTAGAAACCGGGAAGTCCAGCATGACCCTACAGGGGCTGGTGGGGAGGACCCTGGAGAAAAAGAAGAGAGCATGAAATAAATGACATCAACTGAGATGCCAGGTAGCAGGCAAATATCTTGCACAATTTTGTCTTTCACTGGGCAGCTTAACTCCTGGCTCAGCTGGAGAGTTTAGGAGGGAGAGAGAATGGTTCTGAGGGGTCAATGGGCTTCTGATGGCAGGGTGAATGGTAGGGCAATCCAGACCCCAGAGAGGGTAAGGCTGCTGCTGACCCCACCCTCTTCTCTTAGCTCCACCCCTTCAATAACCCCAGGGCTCTCCAAACTCCAATCACACCTATCACTTCCAACCTGATAAAATTGAGGAATGTTAGAATTAGAGGGAATTTTAGAGATTATCTAGTCCATCCCCTTCATTTTACAAATCAGAAAACTTTCAAGACCTAGAAAGTTGAACTGTTAGGTTCAGATTCACACAGTTAGCAAGTGGAGGAGTTGGGACTTGACCTCATTTCTTCTCTGGTACTCCCAGCCAGAGTTCATAGCAAAGAGGCTCTCCCACTCCCCAAAGTACCTGCTCTGTCCATCCCTTATTTGTAGAGGTGAAATCCCTGCCTCTTGCCTCTATTTCAGCAGACATGGATCCAAAAGCTACCATCCTTGCTTATTGACCATTTTATGCCCAGAGATGCAGAAGAGGGTCCTGGGTGCCAGGGTAGTGACTTTTGGAGAGGAGGATCTCTAAGGGACCCTCAATTTCCCCCTCCCTCCTTCCTTCTCCCCCTCCCTCCTTCCTTTCTCCATCGCTCCTCCCGGCCACCCTCCCTCACCTCCAGGATTAGCTCCTCCATCTCAAATTGTCTCTGGGAAGCCTTGTCATCTTCAGGGGGCTCATGGTAGAGCAGGGCAAGCACCTCATACTTCTTAAGCATATTCTTGTAGTTCTTGGAATTGACGTTGACCACTCGATCCACACCATCATACTCGGGAAAGTCCAGTCCCTCTTCACCCTGTGCCCCAGGCATGGGTGCTCCCAGCAGCAGCACCAGCAGTGGCAACCAAAGACATGGCACAGTCCTCATCCTGCTGCTTCTGAACCCGGCTCCTGTCTGGGGAGAAACTGCAAATGGCTTCTTGGTCCAGATGGGAAATGGATGGGAATGGAGTGGAGAGCCCTGGGCCCTGAGTCAGGGAGCACTACGGGGAGGGGGAGGCCCAGAGCTGTGGGCAGGGGGCACAGTCTGGTCCTGGGGACACTGCTGACAGTGCCTAGAGGAAAATGGGCAGGAGGAGCAGTAGCAAGCTGGGGGCGGGGAAGGAACTGGAGCTGCCCCTGAAATTTGCACCCCCCCCTTCCCCCTCCTCCAGACCCTATCCTGTCTCTGGTCCCCTCCACCAACCTTGTCCGGTCTAAATATGTCTCTGTGGCTGACGGGAGGGGCAGAGCCCTCTCTGTGAGGCCAAGAAGACTCCATGGGGGGCCTGTAACCTCCTGCCCAGACTTCCAGTGCCTCCCCCCACCAATGTCCAGGGCTCCTCAAGCCTGTGATCCCAAGTTGGCCTGAGAGCTCATCGCCATATTAAGAAAGGAAAGGGGAGATATGCCCGGGCTAAAAATAAGACCAGATGAGTCGGAGGTAAATGAAACTGGGAGGGGGGAGGGAGGGACAGGGCAGGGGTAATTAGAGAGGGGAGAATAAGAGTAATTAGAGAGATGGAGCTTGGGAGAGAAGGGCAAAAAGAGCCAACCATTAAGAGAGTAAGGTTAGATTGGCAATATAAGGTAAAAGAGGAATAAGATGAGGTATCGAAGATATAGCATTGGGGGTATAACAGAAACTACACTGAATTTGGAGTCAGAAAAGCTGGCTTGAGATGTCTGGAGTTCAAATTACACAGTCACTTATGAACTGTGTGACTTTGGGCAAATCATTTAATCCACCTGGACCTCAGTTTCCTCATCTGTAAAATGAGGGGATTATAGTAATAGATGATCTCTATGATCACATATAATCTGGGCTTGTCTGGGTTGAGAAATAGACCTAGGGATGGAGTAAAATCTAACACACCTGGCCTTGAGGCAGTGGGGGCCAGAACAACTGTGTTACACCCTTAAATTCTCTAATTAACTCCCTTCTAGGAACATAAGGAGTACCCTTGGTTCTTATGAGGCAATATAGTGTGTTCAAGGAAAAGAAAAACTGATCTGGGGGAAAGAGATCCCCTGAGTCCTACTTTAAAAGCTCTAGGGACATAAATGAGACCAGGAATTGGTCATGAGCTAGGCTTGCGACCATCTAGCTTTGTTTCCTTCTGTCTACACTCAGTACTCCAGTTCATTGACCGAGTTCTCATAGTCTTTTTTTTCTTCTCTAGACAATGGGGTTAAGTGACTTGCCCAGGGTCACACAGCTAGTAAGTGTTATGTGTCTGAGGCCAGATTCGAACACTCAGGTCCTCCTGACTCCAGGGCTGGTGCTCTATTTACTGTGCCACCTAGCTGCCCCTTAGGTCTCATATTCTTTAATGGAATCATCAAATCTCAGCATTAAAGGGACTTTAGAGGTTATCTAGTACACATCGTAGCCCAAAGCATGAAGTGTATCCTTTTTACTACAGCAACATAGAAACGAGAGAATGATTACTTCCTCCAGGGCTGTGAGACCAGAGAGATGTAGAGATGTTTTCCTCCTTCCCCTGCAGTAGTTCCCTTGCCTTCTCTTTTCCCTTTTCCTTCTCTCATGCCTCTGTGTCCCTGTGTTCTCCCCTGAACTTGCAGTTCTGTCTATAAGTACTTGAAAGAACTCCATATGAAAGAGGGATTAGATTGCTCTATTTGCCCTAGAGGGGAGAAAGGAAACCTGGGCAGAAATTGCAGAGGAAAATTTAGGCTTAATATAAGCAAAAACTTTCTTACGATTAGAGCTGTCCCACAGTGGGATGTGTTGCCTTGCTAGGGAGTTAGTTCCTCCTCCTTGGGGTTCTTCAAGCAAAGGCTGGATAACCCCGTCAGGGGTATTGCAGCAGGGGTGTGCTGGAGCCAGCTTGAACCAGCTTGCAAGAACTGATTGTTTAGTTTTCAGTGTAGGCATTTACTCCTCAGAAATCCACTACAAACCAGCTTTATCGTATTGTTGATTGTCTAGACTTAAGCACGTGTTAATAATGCAGATTCAACTGAAAAGTGTGCGTGCATACTGGGTTTGGTTGTGTTTTGTTTTTGTTGTTTTTTTTTTGAGAGCTTTGATGTTAAACATTTTACTAGCTCACCTCTCTCTACAGATATTGCTTGAGCTCAGAAAAAGTGCAATAGAAAGCTTAGGGAATGAAGTCATCACTAGACTGGAGGCTAATAATTATAATTCTAATACCAACAATTGGCATTTATATAGCTTTAAGATTTTAAAGTGCTTTACAAGGTACCATTATCTTATTTGAGCCTCACAACACCCCTGATTATGGAAGAGATCCTTTATTGGTATGGGTCAGACTAGATGATTGATGAGGTCCCTTTCAACCTTAAAATTCTGCCATTCTATGGTGGGAGGAAGGAGTTGAGCAAAGAGGTAAGCAATCCCTTTTTTTTGTTCTGAAGATAGGATCTAGATATATAGGGGGAGGGTGGAGTACCAGGAAGGGACCATTAAACCAAAATTTAGCCCTGTGGAAGCTTAAAGTTTGAAGTTTCTAGGTCTCAAGGTGAGAAGAGTAAGGGAAGCTGGACCAGAGAGAGTAATCAGAGAGCTGGACCTTCTTTGCCTCTTGTTTCACCTCGATCCTGCAGGCCTTCATTTCCAATGGACTCCAGTGGTTACCTGGCCCTGGCAGCCAAAAGACAGGGGGACTTTCCTCCTAGGGTCTCTTGCCAAGTAATACCAAGGGAGGGATAGAGACTGTTTATTTTCCACCCTTTGATCAAAGAAAGGGGCCCTACTTGAGGAAGACACAGGGACAGTGCTAAAAAGTGATGTCTATTAATAATTATAGCTGACATTTATATAGCCCCTACTACGTGCCAGGCATCGTGCTAAGTGCTTTACAAATATTATCCCACTGGATCCTCACAAGTGAAATAGGTGTTATTATTATGCCCATTTTACAAATGTGGAAACCAAAGCAAACAAAGGTTAAGCAACTTGCCCAGGGTCACCCAGCTAGTAAGTGTCTGAGGCCAGATTTGAACTCAGGTCTTCCTGACTCCAGGCTCAGCACACTCTATCCACTGTGACACCTAGCTGTCCCTCTCTACAGACTCTGGTTGGGTTGGGGATGAGCGTACAAGAGCAAAACTGACCAAATGGGGTGTGTCCACAGGAGGGTAGTTTGGGTGGTAAGGGCAATTCAAAAGGGAATTAATTGAAGAAACTGGGAATGTTTAACCTGGAAAACAGAAGGCTTAAGATACGGTAGCCGATATCTTTTTTTTTTTAAACTGGGACTTTCTATCTCATCCAGTCTGGAAGTACAGTAGCCACTGATCGGCCTGATTCCACTCCTGATGGGCATGGACATTTTGACTCCCTCCACTTCAGACCTGGGTATGTTTGCCCCTTCTCAGCCAGCTGGGTGACTCCTCTACTCCTAGGGCTCCTCATATTGGTGCCACACTTAGTTCAGACACCTGTTTGACTCTAGCCCTGTTACAATCAGAATTCCTGAGCTGAGGTGATCCACCAGCCTCAGTCTCCCCCAGGTAAGGATTATATAGGAGGGCTCCCCTGAGCTTGGCCTTTGGTAGCTGGAAAGACTTAAAGGACCTGTGTTCACATCTTGTCTTTGCGGTTTAAGGTGTGACCTTGGACAAGTCATTGAACCTCCTTGATCTTGAGCTTCTTTATTTGAAAAAATGGCCGCCAGGCTGGGAGGGGAGGGTTGGGTTAGGCATCCTCTGAGGTCCTCTCCAGCCCTAGGTCTCTGATTCTATATGCAATCTGTCTTCAAATATTTGAACAGTGATCACATAGAAGAGGGATAGGCTTATTTGGCTGAGCTTCAGATGGGAGGACCAGGCTTTATAGATTGCAGTTGCAGGAAGGCAGATTTCAGTTCAACCTCATGAAAGACTCCTTAAAATTATTAGAGCTGCCCAAAAGCGGAATGAACTGCTCCAGGAGGCAGTTTTTCCTTCTCACTGAAGGCCTTCATATTGAGTCTGGGTAATCGCTTGTCAGACAGGGATACTGTATACTGAATGGTGCACTAGTGGACAGAGCTCTGGGCCAGGAGTCAGGAAGACCTGAGTGCAAATCCAGCCTCAGACACTTTCTGCCTGTGTGACCTTGGTCAAGCCACTTAACCTCTGCCTGCCTCAGCTCCCTCATCTGTAAAATGAACATAATAAGAGCACTTGTCTCAGGGCTGTTGTGAAAATCAAATGAAACGATATATGTAAAGTACTTTATAAACTTTACAGAGCTATATAGGTACTACTATTATTATTATTATTATTATTATTATTCATGGCTTGGTTGAGGATTGGATTAATCTTTTAACTTTTTTTTTTCAGGCAGTTGGGGTTAAATGTAAGTGGGACACTTGGGATTATCAGGAGTACTTACTACAAACTTCTCCCCATCCTAGGTGGGTGCTCCATGAGAGTGAAGAACCTGGCTGGGCAAGCAGAAGGACTAAAGATTAACCGAAGCCTGGAAGCAGTTATGCCTCTGCCAAGCACTAGGTTTGAAGGGATAGACTATGAGTTTGGCTCCTGGTCCTGGCATTTGGGCATGGCTGCATGCTATGGGTCTGTTAGTTCTCATCTTGGCAGAAAAGCTCTTGGTGTCCTACCTATGTGGTAGCAGGGAAGGGTATGTCCTAGATGAGAGAACCTAACAAATGTCATGTCATTCCCTCCCAGTGTCAAGATCTGGAGGCTGTTAGAGACAGAGAATAAGATTCTTGAGGGTAGGGGAACTGGGAGGCAGGATGCTTAGTTCTTCGTCATGGGCCAGGAGAGGATGGAGACTTCCCTCTTCTTCCAGGAAGGGCATAGGAAGACTGAAGTGAGGACGTGAAGAAAATGGTGGGACTAAGCCAATATACCTATGGAGGTCGCCTGGGGAACTAGGCCTCCTTCAGAGGACTCATTTTCTCATTTCTACCTTTGGTGTCACATTGAACTGAAAGTTTCAGCTTGTTCACTAACTTACAGTATTTGTTGTTTGGTGATTCAGTTGTGTTCAATATTCTTGGACCATACTATCCGTGTTTGTTTGTTTGGCAAAGATACTGGAGTGGTTTGCCATTTCCCTCTCCAGTGAATTAAGGCAAACAGAGGTTAAGTGACTTGCCCAGAGTCACACAGCTGGTAAATGTTTGAGATCACATTTGAACTCAGGTCTTCCTGACTCCGGATGCAGTGCTCTGTCTACTGAGCCATCTAGCTTCCAACTCACAGTATTACCTTGGGTAATTCATTTAATAGGATCGTAGATTCATAGATCTAGAGCCAGAAGTGATCATCTAGTCCAATTGCTTTTTGCAAATAAGGAAACTAAGGCGCTGGGACTTGCCCACGGTGTAAGTAGTGAGATTTGAGCTCACGTGTTCTGATTTTAGAGTAGGTGCTTATTCCACTGAATGCTTATTGCATGACTGACTGATTGTGCCTCACTGCCTCCTGAGAGACATTTAGTGTCTCTGGGAGCCCTGGTTTCCTAACCTATGATTTTGGGGGTTGGGCTAAGTGATTCCCAAAGTCCCTTCCAGCTCTCAAACTTTGAGTCTGTGAAACAATGGTGTTAGTCTCACAATGTCCAGGATTTGAAACCTTGGATCCAGGGAAGCTCGAGATTTTCAAGAACCTTTTGTGAGCCCCTGGCCAAGTTTGATGGGACACTCTAACACTGCCAGAGGGGGAGAGAAGGCCAGATGTCATGGAAGAGCTAACTTTGGGGGGGAGGCGGGCGGGCTAGGGAAATAAGTGCTGGAATTACAGGTGCTTGTAGGAGTTGAGCTTCTTCCTCAGGAAGGGAAACATCTTCCCCTGGGGGAGAGAGAAAAGAGTGAGGAAATTACTTCTGGGAAAGTCCCTTATCAGAGCTGCCCCTAGTGGGAGGGGAAATCCCAAACATGGATGTAGGGACATCAGCCATGTCCCAACATGAATTTGACCTTCGTGAATCTTCTGACAGTGTGAACATATAAATCAATAGATGGTGGTTTGGATTGTCCTGGGGCAGGGCTTAGGTGATTTACGATCATAATAACAATATGATTTAGTAACAAAAGAAGAAAAGGCAATCATTAAGAAGTGAAATGCAACTAGGCTCAATGAGCAAAAGGTACAAAGAATCAAATTTTGAATTGATGTTAGGAAAAATTTCCAAAAGATGCAGTGGGCTGCCTCCAGGAATAGTGGGAATCTTCATACAAAAACTGGAAAACCACTTTTTGGGTGTGTTGAAAAGACATTCATGTTTAGGACTAGGGAGCCTCCCTTTCTTCCCCAGGATTCTATAAGTTAAAATTTGCCCTGTGCCTAATGTACCTACTCCATTCCAGAGGTCCCTTCTTCAGCGGCCAGGGCTCTTCTGAATCCTGTGCCCCTTCATACACTTTACTTCCCTCATGCCCCTCATTCCCTCATGCCCACCAATTCAACCTTATCCTGGTCTCCCACCTTTATTCATCTCTCTCTTTATCTGACACTCCATTCCCCTTGCTCAGGCCCCTCTCTTCAGTCCCTTGGACTTGACAGTTCTCGGTCACTGGTATCAAATGACCCTGAGTTGGGACCTCTGTATTTTTAACCCACCAGACACCTGAAGCTCCTGCTATTGAAACCTGAGGAGACCAGCTTAGGCTATATCCCTGGCTCCATGCTTGCGTGCGTGCGCGTGCGTGTGCGCACATACACACACACACACACACACACAGACAAAACCCTGACCTAATCTATTGCTTTCTATGAAGCTATGGCTGTGTCAGCAGCCCCAAGATAAGACCCCTGACTAATGCAGCTCATATCCCTGACCAAATCCTGGAATGGAAATGAGTTTGGAAGAGATTCTCGACATTCCAGTCTCCTAAGATCTATGGGGAGAGGGCCGATGTTGTGGAGAGAGAAGACCAATTATTTCTCATCTTTGCTCCATTCCCCAGTCTGTCCCTCATCTGCTACTCTATTTCTGTTATTTAACTTTTTCTTTTCTAGTCATCTCTTGTTTATTTCCATCCCTTTCTGTCTCTCTCTATTCCAAGATTTACTTAATTATGTTCTGTAGGATCTCAGCTTTATAATATGTGACTTAAGGAATTTTGTGAAAAAACTGTTGATGCTCTTCCCTTCCTGGCATTCATTGTCCCAGGTTCATGGGGGTCTACTGTCAGGTACAGGAGGGTGCAGCCTAGGACAAGAGACATTCTAGCCCAACTCCTCTGAGAAGCCATGCAACCCCTGTCCCCATTCTCAATTCTTCCCACTCCATTCTCCCCAGTTCTGTCCCTCAGCAACGAAAAAGATGTTAGTTACATTTTGAAGAGAGAGATGTAGCCTAGTCTTCTGTGTTGTGGTATACTTTCACAAATGTGGGGGTAGGGCTTAGTATCTTTTTAAAGAATGTTTTGCAGTTTATTTTCTAGTTGGTTTGGATTGCTATTCTCCTGTAATTCCCTTTATAAGGGAATAAAACATTTTTTGAAGAATATTAGCTGGTCCTAGGTACATCTGATCACTGAGAGGGAATGAATTAGCCCCAAAATAATTGCAGTTTTGCAAAAATTGCATTCCCTGATACCCTCTAATACTTCACCATGGGCTTGACTTCACATAGGGCAGGCAAACCAGTGCAGCCAAAGCAGCAAAGCACCTTGAGGGGGACAGGAAGCAGCATGTGCCGTGTAAGTCAAACCATCACTATCACCTTGGCCACTGATGCCCTCAGATCCTGATGGAGACAGGCCAGGATCCTATGCTCAAGTGCCTAGGGAGTAACAATGCCCGACAACCTACCAGACCTGCTTCTAGCCCAGCTCCACAGCCATTATTGAGGGGTACAATCATTCTGGAGAGGGGGCCTACCTTCCTCATCACCACCAGTAATTACTGACCAATTGCCACCAACAGACAGATATAGGTATAGGAACTCCGAGAGTGACAGCACCTCTCAGACCACAAGTCCTGCTTATTTTAAAAAAATAGTTTCATGCATACAACAAAGTGTGGGGTTGTTTTCTTTTCTTTTCCATTCTGCCTCTCTCTCTCTCTCTCTCTCTCTCTCTCTCTCTCTCTCTCTCTCTCTCTCTCTCACCATCCCCCCCTCCCCTGGATTATTAATCCATTCACATGTAATTTATGGTTGTTGGGCTTGGTTTTTTCTCCATTTATTTCTTTTGCATTGTTTTTTATCCCCTTCCTCTTTCAAGGCAGCATTTTGTCCTTGCAATTACTTTTAATTTCACTATTTTGAAGTTAATCTGTTCCCACAGGCTCTTGCCCCTGCCATCACTGCCCCCTTTTACCTGCCCCATCCCGAATTTCTTGAAGTTACTTAAATTGTCAACTTTCTTTTCCTTCCCTTCACCTCTCCCCTTCTGGCCCTTCCCTTTCTCTGCCCAGCTAGGCGTTTGGTTCAAAATCTTCCCTCTACTCTACCACTTAATTTAAAATGACATTCTTTTATGCTATTCTTTTCCAAAAAGTTTTCATTTCCCTTAACCTTCTGTATATTTCCCCTTCTAGTCTATTCTGGATGCTGTTGTTTGTTCTTTGTTTTCGAAGATGTTGGGGTCAGGGTACAGTGTGTTCAGCTGAGGTCGATGAGTTCAATACTAGTTCAGAAGGCTCTACCTCAGGCTGGGCACAAATAACCCGTCAGAACACTTGGGATGGAGATGTCTCTGGATTTGTGGAGCTCACATTTCCTTTGTACTACTGCCGCTCTGCTTTGCTCATAGAGCACAGCGCCTTCTTTGATACTGGCATGCCGTGCTGGGCAGTCCTGTGCCTCACGACTGATACTGAAGTTCTTCAGAGACACCTTGAGAGTGTCCTTGTAGCCCTTCTTCTGACCTCTGTGTGAATGCTTGTTTTGTGCTGGTTCTCTGTAAAATAGTTTTTTAGGTAAACGTGCATTTGGCATTTGGGCTACGTGGCCAGCCTATATGGGTTGCTCTCTCTGCAGTAGAGTTTGAATGCTTGGCAGTTAAGCTTGATGGAGGGAGAAACGTAGGGTCTGATACCTTATCTTTTTTTATTTTTAGGCAATTGGGATTAAGTGACTTGCCCAGGGTCACACATCTAGTAAGTGTTAAGTGTTTGATCTGAGGCCGCATTTGAACTCAGGTCCTCCTGGCTCCAGGGCAGGGCCTTTGATACTATCAACTGTGAGGGCTTGTGGAAGGTCATAGCAAAACGTGGTTGCCTGGAGAAGATCATCAGTGTTGTAGCATGGTTTCATGACAGCATGCTCGCACAGATTGCGGATGAAAGACAACGCTCTTCTGTTTTCCCATTCACCAATGTAGTTGTGGAGGGCTATGTGCTTGTTCCTATGCTTTTCAGCATGATGTTTTCCGAGATGTTGTTCGATGCTTTCGAGATCCTAATCTCCAGCTCACAGAATATGTAACATTTGTTTTTCTTAACTCTTTGTCCCTCATCGGAATGGAGCTTGTGGAATACTGAATTTGACATCTCTCTTCTCTGTAACATTCCTGTGTTATTGCGTTTGCAAATCTTACTACCTTGTTCCGGGCTGGGTTTGATTCAGGCAACTCTGGTGGTTTAGGTTTGATACTGGAGATGAGGCACTTGTAGTTCATTCAATAGTTAATACAGAAAGAGTTAGTCTTAAAGGGAGAAGGATTTTCAACAAGACTAGGTACTGGACACACCTAAAGTTGATTCAGCTGAGTGAAGCTCTTCCATTGTGATCTACCTGCTAAGCATCAGAGAGACAACTTGTTGCTCCTTTGTGGCTATGTTGGACCTAGATAACGAGGAAGTGATGTCAAAAGTTGTTAGCAATAGTTTTAATACCTTTTAAGGAAAAACTAACCAAA